AGAAACACATTAGAAACGCTGACATTATGTATTTTCAACAAGAACTTAAATTGCCCAAATGTTTCATCATCACATATATAAGGCCTAATGCTCATAAAATGATACCGGCCTGTTACATAACACCTACTGAGGTTAATTTCAGACTCGATGTAAAGGCCATTTTTTTTTTTGTATGATGCAAACGGGTTGTTGGTATGAATGCAAGACTGTGTGTAGTAAACCATGCTGAGCATTAGGATGAATCATTCATTGCAGAAAAAAAGGAATGTTAGTTTTCAACACAGGACTGTTATCTCCGGGCGAGGGCTGGATTTCCATCACTAGCTCTGCAAGCAAGCAACTTTTAGTGTCCTAAGATACCTGTTCTAGGATCAGCTCTTTTACACATTTTCTTGTTTTCCTGGCTTAGAATATTGTGAAAACTGTAAATGACCTTTTACTAGATGGCTATTCCTACAGATAATGGAAAAAATGTGAAACAAAGAATAACTAAATAGAAAGCTGCCCTTTGCCTTTACCACCTATACCGTAGGAACATGCCTACTGTGCCTAATGATACATCTAGTCCTTCTACTTGCCTTACTTTGGGTGCCAAACTGTCTAGATTAATATTATAATTAGTGAATATCTCTTATATGGTACCAGCATCCCATTCAGATTGTCACAGAAATGTTCTCACTTTATAAATTACGGACTTTTTAGGTACCCCAGAATACAGACATTTAGATAAAATAACAATAGTTTATTTTAAAACATTAAAATCCTCCCCATCTGGGACATACATAATACTTATTTTGTTAACATTGTACATATATACAGAAAAGGGTTGAAAAAATAAATATTTGGAAGACTAATAACTTGCTTTATTCATTGGAATTATGTATTGTATTGTGTATGCATTGTAACCCCCCGTGGGTATATATGGGTTTTCCCTCGTCTAACCCTGGTGTGGATGTCGGGTGTTTTAGAATGCACGCAGTTAGCCTATTATGCTCTGTGACTATTTAGACATTGATACAGTTATGGCGTTGTTTAGCAGGGAAGAAGGTCGTCCCCCCCCCCCTTCCCTCCATGCCCGCCTGTTCTTCTTATTTTGTTGTTTATATTTTTCTTTAGGTTCTGGTTTTTGTGTAATGGAACATGGGCAAGCAATATGGTGGGATGATCTTGCCCTATTTTGCTTGCTGTCAGCCCATACTTTGCTTTTCATCTCCCGCAAAGTGCTGTTATTTGAATATAGGGGAGATCCGACTGTGAAGGAGGAGGATCTAGATTAATATTAGTGAGTACTTTTGTATCTATGGGCAAGCCTATGCTTACAGAATAGCAAAACATTAGGTGTATATGAAGCCCATATAGTTTTGGATAGGGTATGGAATGGTTCAGACTCCGTCAGTTATGTTTTTTTTTGCTATGTGTATTGTTGGGAAGATTTCTCTTCGCTCTCTGTTTCCGAAACACAGAAGAAAGTAAGACATCTTACCAAAATGGGGGGATCTCCCCTCTTATACAGCTGTCACTAGCACAGGTTTTCTTACTTCCAGTTTGTGTGATAAAGATTAGGCTGCCCATCACTTTCTGTGCTGAAGACAATATTTACTAAGACCTAGTAACACTAAATCTCAGGGACAAAGAAAATTATAAAAACCGGACATATGTTCTAACCCTTCCACCTTCTATTCAAATAAAAACAGTTTGTGCTTTGTATACACTTTTAAGTGGAACTAAAGAGAAAAAATGAAAACTTGCTATCTTATAGGGATTATCTACAAATGTTAATTGTACCTATACCGTATCCTGAAAGATTTAGCTATGTCTTAACTTCCTCCTTAGAACTTCCTGTAGGTTCTGTAGCCTCAAAGCTGTATGTCTGCAGTGTGAGATTATGTAAGGCACTGCTGACTGCTAGTTTTAGGAGCTTTGGAGTCAAATTTGGTGATGTCAATAATTTCACCTTGATAAAGTGGGAGGGGGGGGGGAGGGGGGCTGCCTGTTATTCCATGTATTACAACACTTGTTAACTATCCAAAGCACATCCATGGAGTTCTGGCCTTTCTTTCCCTGGCTTTATATGGTGCCACAATTATTTGCACACTAAAATTACAAATGTGGCTCCTGAGGTGTGTGTGTGTTTGTGTGTGGAGGATGAAAAGTATAACATGTTGAATCCGCTTCTGATATATGCTGCTGTAGTGGTGAATGTGCAGTATGCACATATTAGAGATGTCAGTCTTCTTGGACCTGTAGTACAACTGCATTTACTCCACATTGTTTTGAGATGATCGAAAGCAATCATGTAATCATTTATTTTTCTAAATAGTGTTTATCTTTTTATAAATAAATTGTTCATACCTATAGCGCTATGTCATACCTATGTGCCTATATCGTCATGATGAGCTGTAAGCTATAAAATGTAGTCTGAACACTGAGGACTCCCTTCAGATCTGTGGGGCTTCTACTGAGGATTTAAAGCAATTATTCTTCTGATCGGAGTGCCATGGAATCATCAATCGTTACAAAAAAGACATGAAACAGTAATTTTGTGCCTCTATACTAAAACTAAATCCTGCCCCCCTCACCCCTGTACCAGCAAACCTATTACTAGACTCTGTTCATACTAAGGAAGAGCATACATCAAAATAGATGTGTCATTATTACACCCATTCCTGCTAAAGCATTCAGGAGCTTGCAGGTCCAGGTGGTATTGGTGGCATAGAAGCCCTGAGGCAAAGTAAGATTCCTATTTTATGATGCCTTTGGAAGGTAACAAATGAAATTTCCCACATCATATGATATGAATGATCCTGAACACTATCATTGATTGACATTCTCAGTCATGTGTCCTTTCTAGCTAGCTTTCTAGTTAATAAGCATACATTTCTCAGAAACAGTGCCTGAAAAACCTAATGCTAACTATACTTTACACAGATAACATTACAGTAAATGCCTTTCAGAGCTTCATTAACTGACCAGAACTGGCAGACCTGAATTGAAGATATGGAAACAATACTATTCACAGGTTTTTGAGGTGCTAAAGGTTAAGTGATGCTTTACAAACCCAGCGGGTAGGCATTCATTTAAAGTCCTGTCCCGCAGATTTGGCAAGTACTCATAAGTCTTTTATCTTTTTAGAAATGCTTAATGAGCAGCTAACGCTTTCCTTGGCGCAGCATAGCTTCATGATGTTCACAACACTTTGTTCTTTATATAAAGGCAACTATTTTGATCTTTACTTTGGTAAAAAAAAATCTCCCATTACATTTCTTTTATACTGGTTACTGCACATAATTATGACTTGTGGTCTTAGGGTAACTAGGTATCATAAAAACAATATTTAATGCAGCATGTATTCATTTGAAATAATTTTGAAATGCAACTATTGTAAATAACTCAATCTTGATATCAGCCAAATGAAATCCAATGTACAGCACACTAGAAGAGAAGTGGTCAGTACTCAGAGTCAGACAGTCTCTGCTGAATGCACACATTCTGATAAAGAACATGCTGGCAGAAGGAGAGTGGCGAAAGATGTTGATAGGTCTCATACTTTTTGCCCAATCGCAGGCTGGGGAAGAGAAGTGACCAAGCTTTACAGCTCTATAGTAGAGCTAAGTAAGGTCACCAGCCTTGCTGTGCTGCCTGGGCAAGAATTTATGAATCCCAGGGCTGAGCAAGCTAGGGTTGCTTAAAAGGTTTTCGGGGCCAAGCCCCCTTCATCAAAGTCTACATTTAGTGTATCTCTGGAAGCTTTAAATCCGCTCCCCTCAGTGCTTTCTAATCAAGAGCCTGCATCAATAGGTACACAGTTTCCAACTCTGCTGCACATCAATCTGACCTTGAGTCTCAGAATACTGGCATCAATGCTAAGGTTACACTGACGTCTGTTCAAGGATAGAATGAATGTAGGCTTTGATGAAGGGGTGTATGACTCCCAAAAACACATTAAGCCACCCTTGCTCCACTGACTGTGGTTGGGTGTTTATTACCTGTGATTTCCCCCATTTATCTGACCATATTGTGACCTGTTTTTGTGGCTTTTACAAGCAATTTATTACTGCACTTTTGTGAGTACCTTTTATTAACTAGTTCGTAGTAAACTATTACATACTTCACTAGGGCAAGCTGCCTGTCTTTTATGTGGTTTGGATATGGTGGTCCATTGTGTTTGACTGTACGGTGTGTGTGTACTGATTGTCGCTAAGCAGTTAAGAAACTGGTCTTGGAACTTTCTAAGTGTAGTTGGCCGTTTACTCAGTGTTTAGCTTTAAAATATGTATTCATATAACAAGCCACGGTTACTATTAGTTACAAACACTTTTATAAAAACATAATTGAGTAGTCATTGAGGAACATATTTTTAAAAAGTAAAGCAACAGCATCAGTGTGCTGTTACACAGTTGTAAAAATATGATACAATGCGTAGCCATAGTTAATATTCATATTAATGTGAAGTGAGAATTAATATAGTAATTTTCCTTAAGCCATTGGTCATTGGCATCAGTATAGCTGGTTATTATACTGCAATCTTATGGTCTTATGGGCATTTTGGTTATTGTACCAGGTTTTCTGAATTCCCTCCCCCTGTCATGGCTGCCTATAGTAGGGCCAAATGTAATACTCTTGCTTCAAATACCTTCTGTTCACTCATCTGCTGTATTATGTTGTCTGCTGTATGCAATAAAGAACTTCATGGATGAAAAGGTATTTGGCGAGTTTAGCTATCTGATAAGGATTGTCTGCAGTGATTATATCTGCTTATACCCGCCAGGCATAGAGGTCTCAGCAAGGGCTAAATCACTAACACAACAATCGGAATCAGAATAATCAGAGTTGGTTCAAATGTACAGAAGTTTTATAAGTGGAGGTAAACAAATTATGAAACTGACAACAGATTTAGGAATGATATTTAGGACTAATATAATCCTTAAAAATATTACTTTAAACTGTACGGATCATGCTACCCTTTGCTTCTTTAGCCATTAAAGGGATAAATGCCTTACCAAGCTATCGCTGTATGATTCAGCTTTGGCAATTGCTTCTTCTACTGCCTCTTCTGCCACACGTAAGGCCACTGAAAGGGTGTCCATCATGCTGTGCCCTAGAAACAAAAACTCACATTTAAGAATATAGCAAAGATGGGCATAGTAGTTAATGCAAATATTAAAAGTCAGATACTCTTAGTTCAATAGTATGTGGACATTCCTCCAAATTACAAAGGCGTGTCCTAGTGAAAGGTACATGTAATGCTACAGACATTTCAAACAATTTTGTGTTCCAACCATGTGGCAAGAGTTTTTTGCTTGTTTGTTCCAGGATGATTGCCCCCCTGTGCACAAAGACAGGTTAATAAAGACATGGTTTGAAACACCCTGACCTCATCCCTAATGAAAACCTTTGGAATGAATTTACACACCGGGTGCAAGTGAAATGTTCTCATCCTAGTAGCTGTACCTCACCAATTCTCTTGTGACTGAACATGCACAATTACACAAACATTTGGCCATATAGTGTATCTGAAAGTGTCAAGTCTTACAGCGCTACTGAAAGGCAATTCTGAAGCAAATTTGTATGAAATCTAAGTGATCTTATTTTTTATGAAATTCAGCCAGGAGCTTTCTTACATTTTTGAAATCTGATACATTGCAGACAAAACTTCTCTGTTCATATTTTTGGAACTTTTGTTCTGTCTTTTGATGTTATATGTATGTTTATAAACAACATTCCCTAGAATAATTTGTTCTCATAATATGCAAAAGTGTATCAATAGGCTTTAAAGGGTTATTAAAGGAGAACTATGACATGAGTGATTTCCACTCACGTCATAGTTCTAAGCCGACCTGTGACAATGAGACTGTCACAGGTCGGCTCAGTAGATCGGGAGGTGAGGGAAAACATACCGGGTTCCCTCACCTCTCGATCCTGTCACGGCTCTCTGCCGTGACAGGGGGAGGGGCTGGATTCCCCTCTCCCCGCTCCAATCTGCCAGCGCTGACTGGCGGAACAGACGGGGAAGGGGGCGGGTACAGCTGGCTCTGCCTCTAGATAGGCAGAGCCAGCTGTCACTCATGCAGCTGGGCGGATCCCGTCATCTAAGTCGGGATCCGCTCCAGGTGCGGCGTCTCAGTATACCGCGAGCTGTAGCTCGCGGTATACTGAGCTTAGGGTAACGGGAGGACGCTAGTTTGTGTCCTCCCGTTACCCCAAGGAGAACTATGGGGAAAAACACTGACCCCATAGTTCTCCTTTAAACCCTTGCATGTTTTTGCATATATCTACTGCTTGCATTATATGCAAAATGATAAAGAACAAACATTTTTGAAAGGGTTAATACTTACCTGTGTCTCCGCTGCGCGCTCCCGTCTGAACAACTGAAAATTAATCGGGCGGCCGCAAAAGCGCATGCGCTGTTCAGATGTTCGGCTGGGAGACGAGGAGAAACACAAGGCAAGTCTATGGAGCAGCGTACACTCGCACAGACTCCATGGGACATGTTTATAGCTAATTTGCCTACAAACGTCAGGTGGTCATAATAATCTGGCCACTCAGTGTATATATTTTATACAGTTGAAAGCATTTTGTTATATCTGTTTAAGAAGTTTTTTTTTAAATACAATAAATCTTGTAGCTGATAACATCATGTGCTCTCTGCCTGTTCTGACTATTATCAGTGACATTGCTCTTATCAAGCGCTAAAGGACTACAGACCCATGCTCCTCTATGTTATGGACAACAGGAGAAGTGCAGGGTGCTGTGGTCCTATCTTGCTTCTGTTGTCCTGATACAGAGGGCTGATTGAGCATTGTCATCCTAGGACTGGAAGAGTGTTCCTGGCAGAATCACTGGGTGAAACTAAAGGGAAACAAGGCTGAAAAAATTTAACTAATGGATCCACCACATCAGGTACTGGGAAACTTTAAAATATTTCATTTTTAGTTTTTAGGTTTAAATACATTTCAGGTTTTATTGGCCCATTCAATATTTTTGCTGCAAAGCTTGGTTGCCAAATATCAATATACATAGAACCAATCTGTTTGTTGCATGTTCAGGACTCGGAAAAACATGTCAGGAAGCATAAATTGTCATACTATATTACAAACTTAACCCAGAGCAAGATAACACAATGTTGGACCTTACCTTGTGTTTGTCTGTAGAATGTGGAGTCACTCCCACACACACTGCCTTCATTTTCTAAACTTTCATCAATAAAGCTTCCTTCTGTTAATGGAGCAAGACAAGCGATTTTATGGCACAGAACTTCACAGTAATTCTGTTATAACCACAAGTTAAAAAGTTCTCAGTTGTAAAATGATCCAGACTGAGTCGTGACATCAATATCCAAATTGGTGGTTTAGTAAACCTACAGTGTAACATTTTTGACAAAGAATTTTAACTTTACTGAGCATCCTGCTAGTGTATGTTTACTACCAATTATCAAGAACACCTATGTGCTTAGGCAGCACATATCAGCCATTCCCTGACTGCTTTGAACTTGTGGTGGTAAAGCTAAAACTATTCACTGGTATAATTTTACTAAACAAGTAGAACATGTTCACTTTACAAAATGAAAGTTTACTTACCTTAATTTACTTTGAGTGCATATGCAAGGGAAAGCAATAGGAAGTGAAGCACTTTTTTCACTAAGTTAAGTCAACTAGGGATGCACAGATACTGATACTAGTGTCAGTATCATTGCTGATACAGAGTATTTGGGCGAGTACATGTACTCGCTCAAATGCTCCGGGTGCATATCACGATACCTGAACTTACTGTATCAGGAAGCTGAGTGGCGAGTCATTACACGCTGCCCAACTTCCTGATTGGCCAGAAAGCTGGCTCCATGCTCTCGCCACCAGGGAGCATGGAGCTGGCTTCCCGGCCAATCAGGAAGCTAGTTTTGACATAACTTGCTTGTTTGAATTGCCTAGTTGTGTGGCAGATTTACTTAAAGGGTTGCAAAGATGGCACAGAAGGGATTCCAATCAGGTATAACAGAAAAAGCTGCTTTGCAAAAGATCTTTTAATTCTAACAGAAAGATAACAATATCTTCACTCCATGTATGCCAGAAATATAAGAAGACAGTTTTATTTAAATTTTGTGCATACCGCCTAGAAAATGTCCTCACCTAAAATTTCAGCACTTGCTCCGCTTTCAAGCCTATGCTTTCTGTACAAATTCTTCAGCACTTTGGCACTGCCAAAACGTTTAAAGCGACTTTTGACATTGTTGTAATACCATTCCAATGACTGGGTTCTCAAGAGCCTATAAAGAAAATAGTAACATGGATAAGTATACCACATCTCTTTCAAGGATAAAGGCAAACATTTGTAGACTGCCAGCCATATGGACTATTCATTATAATGGGAATTACAGCACATTAATTTGAGACTGCTCTTACAGTCTGAAAACAGATCTGTAATTACTCTATCATTATTTAAAATACCAAAAACAAAAAGTAGAGTTTGCTGCAAAGTAGACAATACTTACCTGTCCTGCTGCCCACATTACCAATCTCCACTTTGATGAAGAAGGAAGATTGCAAAAGGGTATTCAGCATCTGACGCACACTTTTAGGTGTGTCAGATGCTGGTGTCTCCTGCTGTACTCTATGGTATGCAGCTCTACAGCTGGTCTACAAATGGTACATGATGGATTGGGTGGGAGGAGCTGAACACCATGTATCACTACTAGTAACTGTATCTGTGGGAAGGACTGCTTCATCCTGATACGGGGTACCACTGGTGGAGAAGCAGGAAGGAAAGGCAGCTGCAAGAAGATATATACATACTGTATATATGTATTGTCCAATATGAAAATATTATATATGGAAAATTGTTACAAAATTTTAGCTTAAAAATTATCCTACAGTGGGGTCAATTTTTACCATCTCCAAAAAGGTTTACCATACTCCAAAATGTAATTGCCTGAATGCACTGTTATGTTTCCTAGCAGGGTGCTCCTTAATGTTGGCCATACACTTGGAAAAATGGTGGAAATGTTGGAAGCTTTAAATCGACTTTTGATTGATAACATGTCTGCATGGAATCTGCACAGTATATGACAATCTGCCACCTATCCTTTTGGCTCTTTCCTTGGTTTAGAGCTACTAAATGATCAACATTTCACTAAAATTGATCAAAAATGCCTGCTGAGTATAAATGTGCTGGCTTAAATCACTTCCCTGCAATTCTGATCATTTGTTTTTGCAAAACTGGGAAACATCTGAAACAATGGGTGGAACATTCAATTCTAAGTGACCTTTTTTTTAAACTAAAACCTGATGGAAAGACTAAAAAAATTGCCTCAAAATTACCAAATACATGGCCATCTTAAAGTGGATGTTTTCCAGTTCTGTTCACAGACTGACAGGTGAGAAAACTGATGTTACATGGCTTACTAATTATTAGGGATGCACAGATACTTTTCGAGTACCAGTGCAGATACTTGGCATTTTCATGAGAACTACCAGGGTTGCATTGGTTGCAGCTGGGACCTAGCTCTGGCACTCCACCACTGTCCTGAAATCATTAGTCTGTATTGTTTTAGAAAAACTGTCACATGACAATAAACAAAAATGTATCAGTACTCGTACTTGTAAGTACTCGGCAAGTACCAGTACTCGTACTCGCAAAACTGGTATCTGTGCATCCCTTTATTTATATTTATAAAAACAAAATCGTACATTAAAACAGAGATGTATAAATCCCAGGAGCTCCGTGTGCTCCTTACAAATGACAGCTGCCTCGGAATTTTTGAATTTTTCTCTGGTCTAGTCTTGGAGCTCAAAAGTATCGGTACATGTACTCGTACTTGTACCGAGTACTGTACTTGGTATCTGTGCAACCGTACTAATTATTGCATCTTACTGCACTAGAAAATAACATGCACTAATTGGCTGGTTCCTCACAATCAGCTTGTTTTACCCAAAAAATCTATTTAAATTCAGTCAGATAGGCCTTTCATGCACTACACAATATGACTGTGTGTGACCAATTTCATAAAACTTTGAGACTAGAACTCAACCTAGAGCATAGAACATGCCTGTTAACAATCAGTACCTTCATTTTGGGTGAAGCTATAAATGTAGGATTTAAGTGGGAGTCCACTGCTCTGTAAAAATTGGGTAAAGTTTAGAACTGCTCCCAGGTTTTTACACCATTCCATATGGGGAGATTTTCCTTTATTACTGTGATGGTAAACACCTATTAGCACAGGAAGTTAGGGGAAATCTACCAACAAAGATGCAGACAACAATAAAAACATAAACATAGAAGCTCTTCCTAACTGCATTGAAAAATGTTTTCATTATTACCTGTGTCTTTTTTTGGAGAAACTCACTCTCTCCCCTCTTGTCCTTGACATCACCAGGACAAGAAACCAGATAATAAATAATAAAGAAAATTATATGATCATCTACACTTGCATGTAAATGCATATTGATTGATCACTTCTATTTTGTGACTGGTTGTACAACCCCAATTCCAAAATAGTTGGGACGCTTTGTAAAATCTACATAAAGCAGAATGCAATGATTTGCAAATCTCATAAACGCAGATTTTATTCACAATAGAAAATAGAGAACATGTCAAATTTTTAAACTGAGAACATTTACCATTTTAAGAAAAAAACAAGGTAATTTAGAAATTGATGGCAGCAACATGTCTCAAAAAAGTTTAGACAGGGCAATGTTTAACAAGGTATAGCATTCCCTCTTCTTGTAACTGTAACATGTTACTGACCTGCTGCCAATTAATCTAATTAGTTCTTCCAGCTCTTCCTTGTTCGTACCACTTACTTTGCCATCTTTTTGTCGCCCTGTCCCAACTTTGAGACATGTTGCTATTTTCTATCATGAATAAAATTTGAGTTTGGGATTTGCAAATCATTGCATTCTGTTTTTATGTAGATTTTACACAGCGCCCCAACTTTTTTGGAATTTGGGTTGTATAATTACCCACAATTTCAACAGCAAAACAGGCCATTAATTGATGTGACTTGATTGTGTGATCCAGGAATATGTGCATACAAGAGGAACAAATGAGGGCAGATAAGAAACAGGGTTAAAGTTGTTCTGATTTTTAAAAGGTGCTTGGGACCAGTATCTGTAAAAGTAATGTAAAACAGTGTGTAAATGTGTAGCAACAAAGACAGTGGGGTTAATTTCCTAAAGCAACAAATGCTGTTCACTTAGCAGAGTGAATGTTCACTACGTTTAGTAAATAAGACAAAGCTATGTTTGCTTAAATCAACATATCCCACACTAGCAAACATTCTGTTTATTTCCCTTCACACATGATTGGGTGTTCAAAGTGAAAGCAGCAAAGAAAAAGATGGGAGTCAGTAAAAAACGTTATGGGTTTGTGATAAAGTTTTATTAATATGCTGATCACATCCTAACCAGCACATCTCCCATATGTAGCCGGAGATCTGTATTCTATTTCCAGAAGGCTGTAGACGTTCACTACACATAATTACTTCACAAATGTTCTGTAATGATGAATTCTAGCTGTACTGCAGAGCATTGTTATTTTTCTGTAATACGGATATACACAGTGTGAATCATTACTGAATTCATGCATATAATAGATGTATCCAGTAAATGGCCAATGGGACCATCAGTCACCGTGAATATTGTCATGTTTCGCCTGGATTGTAAGTCATCCAATTATGTTGAACAATTGTACGGAAATTAATCTGCAATTAATTTTTGGTTGGGATCTTATCAATGACCCAAACACAGCAAGAAATGAGTTTCTAATTTAAAAGCTATAATGCGTAAAGAATGTGTATAAACTACCTGAAACAGACATGATTCATATATGCATACAACACCTATTACCAAGTGATATTGTAAAGGAACCAGAAACAGGGCCCTCTGCTCCTCTGAGGTATCTGCTCTCTGCACACACCACATGACAGTCCTCTAATTGCTCCACAATGTACCTGCATTTTACATTTTATTTTTTAAATGTGGAGTCTTTGACACCCGCAGTGTGTTCTGTGCATAATGCTGCAGAGAACACTCCTGGATAAGAGCTGAAACCTTTCAGCTTCTTGTCACTGGATTCCTCCTCCTGGTACTTTTCCAACCTTTCATTTAGATGAAAAGGGCTTCAGAACAAGACTTCATAGACAGAGTGGAATTTTTTTTTTTTAAAGTTATGGTATGGCTGTGCTTAGGCCATAATACTGATTTTTGAATCAATCCTTAAGTGAGGCTAACTGTAGATTTGTACAGCAGTCACAACACATTGACCAGCTGTGCAGCACTAATACAAATAGTCATATTGACTATCACTACAAGATGACCATAAATCCTCCTCTAAGAAGACACCACCATCTCCAGATTGGATTACCAACAGGTCATACTGTATATGTCCCAAAGTTTGGAAAATGTAAAATATAGCTTTGTTTATTTTAGTTACAAGTGGGAATTGTAAAAACCCTGTCATGTTTTTGTCATCTATTCTCCATAGGCAGGATTTTCTATCACTTCCTGTCCTGTAGCTCCAACACGAACTCTGCAAAGTGAGGGAAATCCCCTCTTAGACAGTTGTCACCAGAACAAGTGTCCCTATTTGAAGGTTTGCTCTCTATTTGTGTTCTAGTGGCAACTTAAAATTTTGGAATTTCCCAGGACTTTCTTTTTCAGTGATATTGGTATCCAGGACATATAGAAAGGTGAATTTCCCTAGAGGGGACACAAACTGCAATAAGGACCCAATAAGGGGTTTAATCACTGCCTACTTTATCCAGAACTAAAAAAAGAAAAGAAAATCTCAGGATCTCTCAACACAACTTTAGTGACCTTTCCATATTCATACAAGTGTAGAGTGATTTCTTTACTGGGCCCTGATATTCTTTTCAAGTGTAAGATATCAAAGTGGCATCAAGTAGCGGCCATCCCCTTCTCTTCCAGCCCAAATGTCATTAAAAGGAAACAGGAACATTCTGTGTGTCTCACGTCAGTCAAGCAGAAAGTGATGGGGGTGGTCTGCATGGCACCACCTGGGAACAATAGAGTGGGGGGAAGATCAGGACATCATGAAAGATACCTACTGCAATTCTCTTCCCCAAATGCAAATAGTGATGAGTGCAGGAGAGAAGCCTGGCAGTAGCTGGATTCTCATTTAGGGCAAATGAGCCTAAAATTAATATATCAGGACAAAATTACTTGAGAGATATCCATGATTTTTTACTTGATGTCTCTAAGAGTGTATCATATTTGCATGATCCTCCTGAAGTTGTTTCTTATCTATCGA